CAATTGGAAAACCCTGGCATCGGCTCTTCCGCTCTTTTTTCTAATCTTTACATATTTCAATAGAACTGGCAACCCTTTGATCCACACATATATAGATATATATAAATCCTAATAGAATAGGAGAGGAAACCAGGCATAAATAAAACACTTAATGGGTCCCCCCATTAAGGAACCCAAATAACTTGAAACAGACCTTACACCTGTATATCACATGTGCACATATAAAATAATAAATACACTAAGATGGTCTATCACCCAAAAATTTATGGATCACAATAATAATTTTGGGCTCATACCAGTCAACATGTCTGAATCACTTTCAACCCTGTAACACCCCTGATTCGTAATTAACCGTTAAACCAGAATTAAGATATTTAATTATGTGGTTAAGTGAAATTATGTGTTAATAGTGTGTTTTGCATGCTATTTGTGTCTCTATCTGTCTGTTGTAGGAATATTCGTCTGAAATTCTATTTTGATATGGAAATTAAAGGCCTTATCGGCATCCGAACATCGAATTGACTAAGTCGATGTGTTAATTGAGATTTTTAGAATTTTATGGTAAGGTTAATTAGATTTTGATTCGCATCCAAATAATTAGAATAAATTAATTATTAAGTTATATTAAATTAACTCTAATCACATTTAATTAGTTTAAGTTAATCCAACCTATAAGTATGTGATATAAGCTTAACAAATCATTTTTCCTATCATCTTCTTGAGCTCAAATATAGAGTGAAAGAGAGAGGACTTGAGTAAGAGGGAGAGAAGGGCAAGACAACTAGGAATTTAAGCTAGAGATTTGAAGATTTGCGAAGAACAACTTAGAATTCCTGCTACTTCAAGACTTTAGGTGACTAATCAACTCCCAACTTTTGTGTTTAAATCACAAATTATGAGAATTCAAGAGAGTGTAGGAATTAATGCATGATTTGAACTAAGAAAGTAGAATTGGAAAGCAAATCATACATGCATGCATATTTTATAACAATTTGAGGTTAAATTTCAAGAATTCTCTCATGCATGTCATTATTTGAACATGGTTTTGGAAATTCATCATGTTCTATGTCATTTTGTCTTAATTAATCATGTTTTCAAAGTAAAGAACTTAGATTATTACATGCATGTTCATAACATGTAAATAATAGCATAGTTTTGAAGAATTGACATGTTTTTGGGCTTTGATTTTGTGAATTGAACTTCATTTCTACAAGTTTCTAAGCGTTTTATAAAGTTTTTGCCCAAAAGAATGAGTTTTGATGTGTTAAACTTGAGTTTTGAACTTGTAAGTGTAATTTGGAAATTCTAGAATTCGCAGGGTTCGCTCGAGCGATGGTTCTTTCGGTCGAGCATACTTTGCAAGCTCTCAATACTTTTGCAGAAATTGATGGTTAGCTCGAGCGACTAAAAAGTTGGCTTGAGTGTAAAATGAGAGCATCCAGTACTTTTGTAGATCAAGGGGGCCACTCGAGTGACCAAAGCTTCACTCGAGCGAACTGCTCTATTTTCAAAAAATTTTGTTTAATGTTTCAAGTGCATAATTGCATCCTCATTTCATCCTAAGCATTCTTAAGCCATGGTTTAGGTCAATAATAATGAGGATATGAATTAGAAACACACTATGAGGAATTAAATTACATTTAGCAAATTACGGAAAGTGTGTTTCAGTGCATATCTGTCACATGTTTGTGCAGGTCATGCACCTGTATCCGTCTGATCTATCTAATTCATCTGTTCTGCTTCTGGAGCTATTTACGAATAACAACTCTGTAAAGATATGTTTGTACTTAAGTATTTTCTAATTATATGGTATACTCTATTTCTGAAAAGTTATTTTCTAATTAGAAAGAATGATTGTCCAACTCTCTGAAATGTAATCGTGGCATTCTTAGCATTAGTTATCTGTTACCTGGTATCAAGGATCTCTGTGGGTCCCAATCACAGAACTATCTGTGAAACCTATATGGTTATCTATTACGATTGTGCACAATCATCTATCCGATATGAATATGGGTCTTAATGACCATCTGCTCTGTATATGGGTCATTATGACCAATCTGTTATGCTAGCTAATGGATGTACCACATATGAGTGAATGTAAATCTAAAAATGTATCTGCGTCTGAATCTGATGTAATCTAAATTCTAATTTCTGAAACTGTTATGGGCATCATTCATTAAAACCTTTACTCTGTTGTTATTCACTGGGCTCCAACTCACTATTATATTTATGTATGTAGGTGATTAGGTGCATGAACAGGTCTAGTGACGGATGCCTGGATTATGTTTGTGTTAGCCAACCAGTGCACCTTCTAAGGAGGTTCCGGAAGCTTTTTTGTGGCCAAGTTTTTGTGGACACTGTTTGTGATCAAGTTTAAGTTTTTTTTTCTTTTCTTTTCTTTTCTTTTGTTTGGACAAGTTTATGTTTATTCTGTAAGTAAGCTGAGTTCCCATTTGACCTATCTGTTTTGTGATGATGTAAAGAAGACATCATAATATATGCATAGAAGTCTAAATTTTTTATCTCATGTAAATCTACACAACTCTATGGACAATGTATTTTGATATTTGCTTCTGCTAGCCCCTTATTTTGTTAATCTGATTCAGAGGCCTTCGGTAATTTTAGGATTATTAGCCAGTTACGATACTAAACCTATAAAGGCGGGTTTGGGTCATGACAAACCTATTTTTCACAAACCAAACAAAATATAGTCAATGACAACCTAAGTAAGAAAATTTCTTATATTCTCCCATTTAGGCAACATTGACTACTAAGAAAATATTTTATTTCATCAACTGACTCTCAGGTTGAATAACTTTAGTGGCCACAAAACATGATTCAGCATAGAAACATCTTAGCATAAAATATCATTCAATGAGAATATTAATATTGAACTGTGGCGGTAATTATGCTATTTAACAACATAACACCTTCCACAATTACAAACACTAATATGTCACCACCAAAGATTCCTATATGTGGTAAAGTGTAGTGTGGAATTTCAACAATTGATCCAAAAATTATATAACATGCTAATTTCACATTCAGTCCTTTGTATGGTCACAAAAGACCCCGTAAAGAATCTCATTCATTTTTACACTTCTAAAAGAAGCCTTTATACCTCTAAACTAATGTATTTCATACTTTAAACCAAGCATTAGACTTCATGGATCCATATATACTTCTAAACCGGAGCATTACACACTACTAAACCAAAGTGTTAAACTTTACATCTCAAAATTTAAATATAACTGTAAGAGTTCATATAAGAGGAATACATACATAACAATTTCCATTTATGTGTACAGACATAACTATAAACAAAATGTGAATAAACACATTAAACTTTATTAACTGAAATGCACCATAGATAATATTCATGGGTAAAAAATTTCTTTAACCATGCACATAAAAAACTGCAAATATCCACATGCCCAATATATTAAGTAAACTAAATTTGGCCTAAGCCCTTTATTTAAAGGATTAACTAGTATGTATTCTGTGACATGTGCTCATAAAGAATATCATCTTTAATGACTCTCTAATTCTGAAGTACTTTAAATTTATAAATTTAATACCATCAAAGCTCTTATTATTCTTCATAAGAAATTTAAAACCATATATATCATAATACATCTTTATAGGTTTGGAGATGAAATTAACAACTCCAAACTCTAAAATAAAATTCTTTAATTACATAACTCAAGTAGGGCTCTAAAACATGTTTGCATAGTGAAAAATTATAAGAAATTTTGTGAAACTCTTTCATAAAATAACACCTCATGCAAACATAAAAATGTAACAAGTACTAAACACTATATATCATCCGAGTAACTATCAAAGTCGACATTGTACAACCAATAATATTAAGATGATTAATTCTTCTATAGATAATTGTATAACCTTTAATTCTCTATAAATATCATAACACTTTATGTGTTCCAACCCAATGATCATGGCTTAAATTAAAATAATAATTGTGTAACAAACTAATTGCATATGCATCAAGTATAACTCAAGATTCATAATTCATTAAACTCCCACAACACTAGCATACGAGACATTCCTTATAAACTCTTTCTCAATATCATTTTATGAGAGGTGGTGCTACATGCACCAATTAGTATACTGACTAGTGTTATGCCATTATTACTGACCCCACATATTATACAAATTACAAATACCCAAAACCTCTAAAATTATGTCGCATCATCTGTTAGTACACTAGTTAGTACATTAATTGGTACATATAGCATTATCCTTTTATGAATATTGAATGTTACTTAATTAGTCTTGGTCACCAATAAGAGCAATGTAAAATTTTAAATTCTGCATTAAATTAGTAAGAATGTGATCTAGGTATGCTCTTTGAAATGAGAAAAACAATTGCCTAAATCTATTTTCAAGTATCTTAATGTCAAATACATAAAATATTTTACCAAGATATTTTGTATCAAAAATTTATTAACAACATCATTTTCACATCAAGTATTAATTCAAAATTAATAAAATTTACTACAACAATTTACACTTTTGGCAACATTTTTATTAGTCACCAAAAGTGTATTTTTCGTCGCTGAAAGTATTAGCGACTCAAAAAAAGGGTCGCCGAAGCCATGTCACTAAATGTTTTGGCGACTAAATAAACTATGGTCACTATTATAAAAGAATCAGTGACCAAATATTTAGTCGCCAAATACCAAAAAAATTCGTCATTGTAAATTAACATTTAGTTACTAAAAGTAACCTTAAACAAGATGTCATGTTAGGTTTTAGCGATGTATGAACGCGTCGCAAAACATCCTTTAGCAACAAAACAAATTAGTTGTTGAATGCCAAATCTTTTGGCAACCAATCAAGTTTTTAGTTGCTAAAAATTCATATCCTATTTCACATAGATTTTTAGCAACAAAAACAAACTGTCACCAAAAGTAAATTAACAATTAAAAACGTACATCAAAAATTCATTATTTATTTATTTTTTTGATAATTTCCCTATTCAGTTCATAAACCAATAAGCTGCAAACAAATATAACAAAATAACAAAGATTACATTTGTTTAAGGAAAAAATAAAAGAAAAGAAAACAAAGTTGGAAATTTTGAAGGATTAAAGAACGTGGGTTGGCCCTTCAGTGAAGAAAGAATTCTTGTTTGTGTTGTGTCCATACTGGTTTCTCCATCTTTCTAGTAGAGAAACAAGTGTTTTTTTATCAAACCACCAACTATACAACCCACTCCTTATATTATTATTAATATATATGAATAATGATGAATGATAATGAACCAAGTATTTTCTTTGCTCATCTTCAAACAAATCATTATCTAAAGGCCCAAAAACCTGTAAATAAATCTCGTTAATTAAAACTACAAGAATCAAAAAGTAAAATGAATTTTACACAACAATTTATAATATATATATATATATATATAATCAACAGATGTCATTTTAAAAATAAGAAAAGCCTCTAATTGAAAAGTTCATTTTAGGCCTCAATGGTGGTAACTGTAAAACAAATAAAAGTTCAAAGGATTGTCTAGGAGAGCTAATTTGACGACTTCAAATTGCAGCTTTAGGTAAACTCTAATGATGAGTAAAGGTTGTGGTATCAAGTTTTTCAAATAAAAAAACACCCTATGTCAAAAAGCAAGGTAAAATGCCTCCTTAGGTCACTGGAATAGTCTCAGAAATCTAGCACTGGTCATTCATATGAAAAGTTTATTAAATTAGGCTATTTCATGAATCTAGCACTAGTGTCAAACACATGAGACACATAAATCCACTAAGAAAGCAATATGAGTAAACATAACACAGCATATCTAAACCACAAATTTCAAGCATGGTCAAAAGAGACTTATGCCCTGTTTTCAGTCTTCAACTCAACATAAATTAGCTATTTCATGAATTTAGCCCCAAACAACATTTTTTCAGCCTTCAACTCAATATAAATTTCATATACTTGCTTCTAATGTTCTAACCTTGAGTACAAACGTCGTTTGTTGCTACAAGTGTATTTAAGTTACAGTGAGGTCCTCGTATTTTTTATTCAAACTACAAGATACTTTATGTTCCATCTATTTTATGATTGAATAAAATTAGGAAGATAAATGATTACTTCTTCTGGGATGTTTTCAGTTTCTTCTATTTACAAATTGTGTGTTGGTAGTCTAGGTCTTGTTCTGAACACAAGTAGGTTGGTCGGGTCAAGTACATCCCACCCAAAGTCCAATTCTTTAGGTGATTAGCTTGGAAAAATAGAGTAAAGACCACAACAGCGGCAGTAGCAGCCGCAATAATGGCAGCATAGTAGCATCAACAGCTGCAGCTATCATCGAAGTAATGTCACCAACAGGGGATTGCATTACCTTTACTAATATCTTAACCGAAAGTCCAATCCCTTCAGAAGGCACTTCACTCAATATAATATTAAAGCTACATGATGTTTAAATGGAAGATGAAGTGATAGTATTTGTTCCTTGATACAGAGAGAAGGTTTACGATATAATTTTTTTTTTTTTTTTGGTTAAGGTAAAATTTATTCAAGAAGCAAAACAAAATAGCCCAAAGAAAGGCAAACAAAACAAGAAAACAGAAAAAGAAAAACAGAGAGCTAAACTCTACTGTTCAAAATCCTCAATGGAAGGTTCCAAGCTTGACAAACATCCCTATTAGAGGGAGAACCACCGGTCCAAGTCCATGAACAACTTCTATCCCTCACATTTGTTACCACAGAATGAAAAACAACACAAGCATCAGAAGCTTTATTGCTAAAAATCCTAGCATTCCTTTCAAGCCAAATATGATAAATTGCAATAGAAAGGGCAAGCTTAAACACAGTAACCTTGAAGCTCTTTTCTCTCAAATTTAAAGTGCACTATTCCAATTCAGCAGACCAGCTCATGGGCACTCTAGAAACCTGAAATTTCCTCAACACTTGCCTCTAAATCCAACCAAAATAAGGGCATTCAAAAAAGAGGTGATCATGAGATTCAAGTGATAGATTACATAGAACACAAAGCAAATGAAACTCCATTCCCCATCTTTGAAGTCTATCCTTAGTAGCTAATCTTTTCCAGCAACAAAGCCACAAAATGAAGGCTCGTTTAGGGACATTGTAGCTAAACCAGACCCCTTACCACTAAGAAACACAGGCATAAGGCACTCTGATAGCATTCCAAGCAGACCTAACAGAGAATTCCCCATTAGCAGTAGGACACCACAACAAAGAATCACCATACTCAGGACTAGGCAAGAAAGCAGCATGGGTGTTCTCAATAATATGATGAATAGACCTATTTTTAAGCCTAGGCCATCTCCAATAACCATTCCTGATGATGGAAGAAACCTTAGCAAGAAGGGAGCTTCCTAAATCACTAACCACTCTTTCACCATAGATTTTATACAGAGGACTAATTGGATGCCAATTATCCGACCATAAAAAGGTCTCAACTCTATCCCCAATCATATATTTGATTAAAGGCTGAGCCAAGACACTCAATTTGAATAATTTCCTAATTGTCCAAGAAGAATCTTAAGGAAGGGTCATATGCCCAATCATATATCTGATTAAAGGTTTAAGATATTGTTATTTTAACGTGCTTCATAATTTTCCACTTTGAACTTCTTGTGGTCCAGGGATAAGCAATGACTACATACTAATTGATTGTTTCATACATACTATGTGATGAAATTGATAAATAAATTAGAATTGCTATATAAATTATAGTCTTCAAATTGATATATAAATTAGTTTAGTTATTCTTCTAAAAGCATATTCATCTATTTTAGCAATTTAACTCATTTATTAGCTTAGTTAGACATGAAATTAAAATCTTTGAAGCCAAACACAACACCAATACTTACTGTCCTGTCTTCATTTCTTTTAAAATTTTATGCCTTATTGTCATACTTGCTCGCCATGGATATGTGCAAAATAAACGATTCAATTATATTATTATATATCAAACCAAAATGTGATCTACATATCTAAATAAATTATTGCATTTCAAATCTAAACAACAATTGAAAAGTGTTCCCAGTCTAGACAACATCTAAATAAATGAATGACTCTTTTTGTTAGAAATTGGGCGCCCATATGGCATGACCCATGACCCTTTTGAATCTTATCCATGTAAGTTTAAATTTGAATTCAAAACCTATTTGAATAACCCACTCTTGATATCTATATCTATCATATCAACTAATATGGATAGATGATATCCTCAGCCTATATATCTGATACGTTATATGGGATATGGGATATATAGAATAACAAATGATTTTTCCCATATTGACTCTCTCCCATTAAAATAACGATCAAGTTTTTTGCACTGTGACTTGTGTGGGTGATACTTATATTGTGGTATCACTCCACTGTTGGGTGTTCGTTGTTCGTGTTTGTGAAGCATGTGATTTACTCACAAGGTTCTTCGCTTCAGGTTCTATCACCTAAGGTATGATCAGAAATTTTTGCCCGCTGCGTTATACTTGATTTACATTGGTATCATTTTTCAAACTATCTACAATCGACCTAAAATTTATATATGTTGTAGTATATTTAATGTAGAACATATCTGCAAAGTTTTATGAAAATCCAACAGTTAGATTTCAAGAAAAATAGAGAACCATTTTATATTTTTGAAACTTTACATGCATGATGGTTTTACATGCTTTAATTTCAGTCTGCAAGTCTTACATATTTAGAATCCTTGTTTCGAGACCTTCGAAACCATATATTATTTGTTAGATTTGGATTTACGGTTGATGAGATACATCATACCCTAATTTGGGTTGATTTTGAATTTTTGATGGCTTAAGGAGGAAGATGAAGTGCAGGGTTTCTACACGTCCACTCTCATTAGAGAGAGAGTGCAATACACCTCATCATTTATGTTCATTAAATGTCATTTTTGAGACCATAATGTTTTTATTTTGGAAAATGGAGTCTAGAAATATCAAAATTGGACCAGAAAACACCCTGAAAGGCAACGCATGATCCGCACACGCGATCTGACGATGTTAGTGTCGCCACGCACGCGCCACACGTCAGCTATAGCCTGCACGTGGCAGGCTCGTTTCGCACGGGCGCGCCGTCCGCGAACTCCATGCGCGCGCCGTCCGGGCTACTCACGCGCGCGTCGTGCGCTACTCTATACGCCGAGCCGAACCGCGCCGTTTTCTGCGCTAGCTTGCCTGGCTTGGCTGCTGGATGCTAAGGCGCTGTTTGTTTTTTTTTTTAATTCTGAATCGCATTAAATGGTCATAAATAATTCGTTATAGCTTTGTTTTGAGCATGGTTGGTACTGTTGGACTTAGAATTGAATTTTTTATCTTCTGTAAAATTTGCAAAAGTTTATGAAAATAAAAAATATTTTTCCTGAGATAATAATTCATTATTTCTGCTTTAAAATGCTTCTGGTGTTGCATGACTAAGTTTCTGGGTTTGAAATTTTTATTGTAGAGTACTGTAAAGGTTTAATATTTACTAGTATAATTGTTGTAGTTACCAGAGTCTGAAATATTTATTTCTGATTTTATGAGTGTTTATTAGTTATTTAAAATTCCAAAACAAATTTAGAAAAATTTCAAAAAATTTCAAAATGATGTACTTTCTATTATGGCATAATCTGAATATTAAACACAACATATTATTTTTTTGGGGTTTGTAATATATTGTGATTAGAGAAGCATGATTAGTTTTTTTTTATTTATTTAAATTCCATTATTAAATGAATATAGCATGAGTTAATTGTAAATTTACATTAAGAAGCTATTGTATAGAATTTATCATGCTTTGTACATGCCGTAAGTAGTGGGAGGTTGATTTTTTTTTTTTTTGCACATGGAATTAAATTAAATTTTGATAATTGTCACTAGAGGCGCAAGAGATGATTACGAGCATAGCAAATTTTCGATCTTGAGACATGTGTAATATTATCATTATTTAATTTAGATTCTTTTGCTGCAAAATAATTTTTGTGTTGCTATCATTAATATCCCCTGCGCATTTGTTTACTCTGTATGTAGAAATGGCTGCTAAGACAGTGGTGGCAGACTTAACTAAGGGAGAGAAATTGGATGGCAACAATTATGACATATGACGCCATAAGATCCAATACCTCCTCAATGAGCAAGAAGTGTTGACCACACTTGAACAAGTGATGGTTGAGCCTGAGCAGGGCAATACAGCTCAACATCGTCGTGATCTTAAAGTCTTTCAGACTTGGCATAACAAAGATCGACTTTACCATGTTAAGCAACATCCACAACGACTTGATTAGTGAGTTTGAGCATTGCCCGACTACATTTGAGATGTGTGAAGCTCTCAAGCAAAAGTTTGG